CTTTCGAGAGAGAGACCGATCTCGGTACATAGCCGCGTCACTTGTTGCGCGGAACTTAGACCAATTCGAAATCCGAATTGCTCATCTCTAAGAAGCTTAAGACGCCGTATTTCCTGTTGCAAGCGCTCCAGGATCAGGCGCTCGAAAGCTTTCGCAAGAAGCGAGAGGAGACTAATTGGTCTGTAACCGCTCGGCAGAAGTTGGTCCTTGTTAGGCTTTGGTATCGTGGATACTGTCTCGATTTTCCACGCTCTGGGGAAGTATCCTAGCGCTAGGCACGCATTTAGGAGTTTCCGCAGGAACTCCACCCCGTCGGCGCCGAGCACGCGGAGCTGGGCGGCTGTTATACCGTCCGGCCCGCATGCCTTGCGCGTAATGAGTTGTCGCAGCGCTTCGCGGAGCTCCCTTCCCGTCACACGTCGCGCAGAGGTGCTCGGCCTGGCGGTCAGGTAGTCGCGTAAGCGTGCAACAGTGCTCTGGCCCCCGAAGTCGCCGGACTCGAATGGGCGGAACTGCCGTTCAAGCGTCCCCGCGAAGAGTTCTCTTTTCGCGGCGTCCTCCCATACGTATTCCGGCTGCATAGCGGTGTGACCGGGCGGCTGTGGTGTCGGAGTGGTGCGGAGCGGGCGATTTACTCCCGCCTTGCGGCCCAGCGCCTTAGATAATCCCTAAAGGTTTCTTTCACGAAGATTGCAATCTTCGATCGTGCGCGACCATTTTGTGGTTCTCTCGTCTTGTAGAGATTTACGGAATTCTCTGCTGAGAGCTCGCGCCCGCGCTCCGTCCGCGGGATCGCCGTAGCGGCTGTGTAGCTTAGAATATCTGCGCAGCTCCCGCAGCGTCCTTCTCTACTCATCTGTAAGCTCAGGACGTGACTCCGGTTCGCGTGTAATTTTGGTATTTGATTTGTGGGACGTTCGAATCGCGGAAGTGATATGAGTCACTGCGCTATCGATTTCGTCCCGTGAATTTAGCGGTTTTCACTCAAGCACGGTGCTTATGTGAGATGTGAAACCGGCCCAGTTGGTGTTGTGTGATATTTTGAATTTGTTTCGGCGCGCTGCGGCGAAAGACAAAACCACGAATGTTACCGGCCTGTGATCGGAAACCAGATAGGAGATCGAAAGCGGGGCTCCGCCGTCAATTCCTTTCGCGATCGCAAGGTCGATAATTCCCGGATTTCCAGTCGACGGGTAGATGGTGGGTTCTTTCGGGGCGCATACGTATACGCCACGTCTCGTCGCTATGTAGTTGGCTAAACAGGTGCCGTTTCGGTTTGCACCGAGGCAGCCCCACTGTCTGTTCCTTGCATTGAAATCCCCTAGAATGAGAACTTCAGTATCTAACGCGAGTATCGCATCTATACAGGCAGTGTCTAGTTGCTGATTTGGGCAGTAGACGAACGCGATTCTCTGTCGGCCGCCAACCGTCCAAACTCGCACCACAACTGCCTCTAGAAAACGCAAGACGCCAGGTGGGGTCGTTACTTCGAGCTGGGGGATGTCGCGTCGGACCAGGAGCGCAACACCGCCTCCCCCGTTTGACCTCGCGGTCTCGGCGATACACTGCATGTCCGTGAATACGGGCAGTGTGATGCTCACGAAACGTTTCCTGCAGCGCCAATATATCGAGCTGTCGCTCGGTAGCAAAGTTCTGTATCAACTGGGTCTTTTCGCACGCACTTTGAACATTCCAGGTGCATGTTCGCAGCGGTGCTTCGCAATGAGATGGAGGATTTAGATTATTCTGCGCCATTGTTGGGCAGAGTCAAGGTCAGTAAGTGGATCATTCCCCGAATCTGGTCTTCGGAGAGAGCACCCAATTGACCGCGTCTCTCGCGCTGGGCCCTCAGGTCGCCTCGCCGCGTACTCTCTGTTGAGGAGCCTCGCCTGAAGGGGCGTCGAGGCTTGTGGGCCTCTCGACAGATTCCTTTTCGATGCTCGATGAGCGCTGCAAAGGCTTGCATCTTTCGCATTTTGTATAAGATGCCGTGTGCTGCCCGCCGCAATTGCAGCATTTCGGGCGTGCCGAAGTAACGCGTATGGGGCAGTCCTTCGTGCCAGGGCCCCTCTCGTGCCGTTTGCATCTCACGGCGTATTCGCAGTTTTGCGAGTATGTCCCCATTTGCAGCATCTCTCGCAGAAGCGGGGGCGCTTCATTCCTCCCGAACGACTTTTACGTGCAGGAGGCAATGGCCCTGATGCCGAAAGCTTTTGGCGACATCGCCCGCGTGAAGGGTGACGCGAAAGTCCCCGTGCGCACGATGCAAGTTTCGGTGGCGTCATCACCTGCGGCATTACTTGCTCTCCGAAGTTCCGCGGCGGGTTTCGGAGAGTTCGCTGGCGAACATGTTGATGAACGCCCAACGGGTGGAGCCTGCGCCTTGAAGCTCTTCGCGGCACACACGTCAGCAGTGATTGCCGCGCGGATCTGTTTATGTACACGCGATGTGTACGCTCACTCTGGGGAGGTGGGGCGTGGGTGACCAAATAGGTAAATTTTGTGTGAAGCGTTGCGAATAAAGTTTCGGCTTACACGATAAGCGTTTGGGGAGGAGGTTTGACACCTGGTAGCCAACTCGACCATTTCTGGTAGTAACACGACCGATTGTGGCAACCTTAACCAGTGCGTCTTCCTACTCTGTTGGCGTGTTTTATGATACTGCATCTGCAATGTATTTGCAGTCGGAAGCGAGTCCTAAGTTGTCTCGGGCTGAGGCTCGTAGGCGACCGTTAGGGTTTCGGTCGTGGTCGGGGCCAGACCGGAGCGGCCCCGCTCGCCATTCAGCGAGGGGCTGGCCGCACTGCGCATGAGTCGACTATCAGGCGGCGATTGTTCGCCGAAGGGGAGGATTTGTTTCTGGGGATGGAGTGGGAGACCGACGTTAGCTTTCGGAGTCCGTTGGCGCCTTACCTCTCCTGCCGGAGCTCCCGTCCGCCACCTCTGCCGCGGCGGTGGTTGAAGCGTTGCGGGCGGCAGCTTCCTGGGCGGCGAGGCTCCTCTTCTTCTTCTTTCCCCTCTTTTTCCCACGGTGGAGCGGGGTTTCAGAGGGGTTGTGGCCGTACTCTGTGACGTCGCCGGTGTCGGGCGTCATGTCGGCACTGGAAGGGGACGCTAAGTCCTCGGTGCGCAGCCGCTTTCCCGGAGGCGAGCGTGCCGACGGCGAGTCGGTCGCCGGTGCGGCCAGGTCATTTGGCTGATTGGGAGGGACGGGTCCCTCCGTGAGCTGCTCGCAGGGCAGGGCGTCTACCCCAGGCGTTGCCTCTGGCGGGGCCACGTTGCCGCTTCTGCGTCGGTGCGGGGACCGGGGTCGGAGTGCGCGCTTCGATTTCGCGAGACCTTTCCCGAACCGATAGGGAGTGGTTTTGCTGAGCCTGCAATCTCCAGAACCGGAGGAGCTCCGCTTCCTTCGATCGGGCGAAGACCAAGAGCACTTCGAGGGGCACCTCGCTGCAGCCGTCTTGGGGGGCGCCCGCGGGCTGAGTAAACAGCGCCACCACTGCGCTGCTCCAGGATTCATCTCCATCTCGTGCCACGCGGAGCACGATGCTCCGCCGCGGGGTAGTCGTGTCTTTTCCTTGCCGCGGTGGCGGCGGGGATGGCTGCTGAAGCGGGGAGCACATGTTCCTTTCCGGGCACTGACGCTAGCGGGCGAGCATGGCCCGCCCGGTCTCCCAGTTGGCCGGCCCACGGGATCTGCTGTTGCCTGTCCCGCTTCCTCCGCCGGGGCTGGCCGCACGCCGCCAGGCCTGGCCGTGCCGGGGCGAGGAGTTTTCCCAAATTTCACTTTACGACGCTCCTATTTGTCCGATTAGCATGATTGTCACGGCGTTGGATTCAGGAAGTATGTCGCCCTCGCGCTATAAGTCCACATTTTTAATTGTTTTCTCGTAAATTTGAGAACGGATTTCAAATTCGAGTTTTTGCTAGATTTTTTGAAAAAGGGCTTCGTAGCTTAAATTTTATTTTAAAAAGGCGTCAAACGCCGTTTACAGATCGAAAATTGGACCATTGGTTCAGACATCGGTGATGTAAATTTTACTTAGTTTGCTGCTGCCACGTGATGGCTACAAATTGTACTAGTGTCAGTACATTTAGCCAAGTGCACAGCAAAATTCATAGAGGTCACGTGCGTGGGTGGTGTATATATATATATATATATATATATATATATATATATATATATATATATATATATATATATATACCTGAACGGTCACGACAGTTATGTAAGAAATCTTTCAATATATACTTTAATTTAACTTAATGTTGAATAATTTGAATTGCTTACATTTTTATTATATATTCGCATTTTGAAATTTGGAAACTGCCTTTTCGTCATTCGATGGAGGTGCTACTTCTAGTCTGTTGGGGTATCAGCCGCCACTGGGTCGTGGGGTAACTTTGCGCCTGAAAATGACAGCTCAATGTTTTTGTTGTTTTCGTCTCATAATACGCTTCTTGAATTCGTTCCAAAAATTCAAATAGTATCACAAATAAACGAAAATTTTTGGAAACATTGCTTTAATGTGTTACTTTTTTCCCCATACTTTTTTTTGTGAATATCCTCGTATGTAGTACATCCAAATAAAAACACATGATAAAGTTACCGTGATAACTTTTTTTCTTTTTTTTCGGTTTTAAAATATTCTGTTTTTATACTAGTGGAATGTAAGGAATCAAAAAATAATTAATGCATCTGTTTAAGTAAAAAATTAGAATGTTATTTATCAACTATGAGGCACCAAGAATTTGAAAACAGCAGTGTGAAATTACCGTACATGTTACTCTCTTTTCCCCCCCAGAATAATTGGCTAATTAATATTATCGCACAATATTGAAGAGGAAAAGATAGATCGAGTTTCTGAGTGTTTTCGTGTATTTTTGATTCTGAGTAAATTTGCAGATAGTAGTGTTGGTTGGTTGGGTTATAATTTTCGAATTCTTGTTTGTTTTTCCTTTTAATTATCTCTAGTCTACTTTCAAGAAATTGTCATTCAGATAACAGAAGTAGAGGATGTAACATCTGCCACTATTGGTAGCTTTCATTTGTTCAACTCATGTCTTCGGCGGGTGGTGGGAAGTTCGTATGTGCAGTGACAGAAACTGAAAACAACTGAAGGTCATTGAAGGACACTTAGGACAGCATAAGACAGTGCGGCACGAATGAGGGACTTCAGAAGCTGCGTTAGAAGACGATGATTGTATGACGTGTGTCGCGTGAATGTGATTATCTTGTTACGTCTTTCTGAAAGTTTACAATATTCGCCATGTCTCAGGAAGTGGTGTCTGTGAAAACAGAACCGTTTGATGGACAGAAACCAGGAACAAGTGGTCTGAGAAAAAATGTTAGTGTTTTCCAACAAAAACATTATACTGAAAACTTTGTCCAAAGTATCCTAAGTTGTATTGGACCAAGAATTAAAGATTGTACATTGGTTGTGGGCGGAGATGGCCGTTTCTTCTGCAAACCAGCCGCAGAAACTATTATTCGTATGTGTGCTGCCAATGGGGTAGGTACTAGTAATACCGGTAGTGTTGCTTTGAACGTAAATTGTAAACCATTTAAAATTCAGATACTTCACTTCCTTGGATTGATACTTATCACTTACTTGTTTCAAATTTTGAAATTTCACAAGTATTGTTTTTTTTTTTTTTTGTATGCAAAATAGGTAGGCAATTCTCTGAATGCTTGTTTCATGTAAAATCTCAGATTTTCAAAGTTTAATAATATTTTAATAGGTTTTTATCCCTCACAGTTTGTTGGTTATGTCTAATAAAGAGTATTTTATTTTCTTTTTGGAAGGAATTACATAAATAGTGCAGTTGTTGATTTTCAGTATTTAAGTAATTTGTATCTTGTTTTAAAAGCATTCATGTTGTTAATTGTGTCTCTTCTGATGAACATTATTCTTCTATTCTTTTCTAACAGCCAGTTAAATTACAGCAGCAAATGAAGTAATGGAAGAGTCTATTTATTGTATACTTTTCTATGTGGAGAACTGTTGTACTGTGTGTGAACATTGCTAAGTTATTGCAGTATTCGTGAAGACTGATTTTGTTAAAATATTCAATTTATTGTAGTGTTATATACAAGTATTTTGTTTGTTCTTGAGTAGTGTGAGTGCTATGTTTTGGAAAACTATTTTGCGTGGATTTGTTCAGTACCATTTTTGCTGCCACAGTCCACTAGTAGTTTATTAATGCATAGTTTGAGTTGCTTATTTCGTTCTTGTTCGTACAGGTTGGAAAAGTTATAGTTGGCAAAGATGCAATTTTCTCAACACCAGCTATCTCTGTTGTAATAAGGAAGTATAATCTTTTGGGTGGAATAATTTTAACTGCAAGTCACAATCCTGGTGGGCCTAACGCAGATTTTGGAATTAAGTTTAATACATCAAATGGTGGTATGTAAAATTATCCTTTGATGACTGCAATTTGTTTCTTTTCTCCTTTTCCTTCCTCTTGTTCTATAAGTAATATGTTATGCTTATGGCATTTTCCTGGAAAAGTTTCCCTTTGTGAAGAAAAACTTCATGAAATTCTGGTACCCAGTATTTCATGAGTTACATTCTTGGTTTTTATTTTCAGTGCTTCTAAGTCTATTCTGTTCCAGGAAATGCTTTGTGCGTTAGAGTAAAATAACTTTTTTTATTTTTAACTGTTATTTGTTGTTTCCTGTGTGTATGTGCAGTGTTAGATTTTCATAAATGTAGATATACATTTTTGAGAAGGCTTTTTTCCTAGCTACTATTTTTGTAATACTCTGAAATCTTTCTGTTACCATTGTTATCTTAACACAAGTCCTCACTCCTGCTAATGCCGCTTCTCATTATCCCATATTTATTGTGCAGTTTTTATTACTTTGCATGGCACGGGAATTTCCTACTCAGCAAAAAAAAGTTTTAAAAATGATTTTAAAAACCTTTTCTTTCTTTCTTCAATTGCCTTGATCTTTAAGGTTACCTATTCAAAATTATAGTTCTGTTTACTTTAATTATGTGTGTGCATCTAATCTCTTATGAACCTGTTATGAAGTGTACTACTAATTCTAACATCATGCTACAACATTCTTCAGAATTTCAACATATGAGAAAGAATTGTGTTAGCCAGGACCTGAGACTTTCCATAATATGTTATAATTATATTCTAGAATGTTATACCAGTTAACTTAATTAATTTTTGTGAAAATAAACATGTTCATTTTTGCAGGACCTGCTCCAGATGATGTAACAAATTCAATTTTTGAGTTTAGTAAATCTATATCAGAATACTTCATTGTACCAGGATTGTCAGTTGATATATCTACTGTTGGTGTTCAGAATTTTGATGTATGTATTTCATCAGTATACTTTCTGAAGGTTAATTTCATGTCCATTGTCCAAGTTATCATGAACAAAATACTTCTTACATTTAAGCCCCCTAGAGCCCAAGTGATGTAACTTGTATTATTCTCAATCTGAGATATACAATGTTTTACTAGTGTTGTAGAAAATTTGGCAGTATATTATTTTACACATTTTTTCATACACGTGTTTAGAAAGGTTTGTTTCAACTCATTTTGGGAGTACTAATTAATTGGGTCCAGATATAGACATGGTTTAAGAACCTAAATGGAATTACACTACAGTTATATAAACTGGTAAAAGGGTATGAGAAAATATGAAATGCTATTAACAACACTGTTTACATAATTATTGTTACTTATCAGTATCAACATTTCCATTCAATGACCCGAATCTGATAAGTTTGGCCAGTTGTAGACTTGGTTTAACTGTATGGAGTTAGTACATGTATTTAATAATACTATTTACATAATTTTTTCAAAAATCTTAAATTAAGTGGACAAATGATCAAAAGTGGAGAATACAAGATTTCAAAATTTTTAATTAATGTTTAAAACATAAGTTTTGGAAACAACATTAGCACCACTTGGACTCGCCGTTACTTGTGCATATTTGTGTAATGCAATTACTCGCGTGTTCGATTTTATCTAATAACTGTTTCTGTTGTATTTATTGTTTTATTATGAATCAAATTCACCCCTAATATTCTGAGATATTTGTTATTGATTTCTACAACTTTTGTAGATGTAATAATGCATAAAGATGACATGCAGGCTCATAATTGTTTTTTATTATAAACACTAATCAAAATCACAGTCATGGAATGAAGTAATATGTTATGTACATTTCTTTAAGAAAGGCAAAATATAGAATTCAATTAATGCAATAAACAATATAACTTCACCACATTGAAACATATAGGGACATTCATGAATTAAAACAAGCTTCCTCAGAACTACATTCATTGCAACCAAAAAGTCTTTCTTGGGTGTTCTTTTCAGAGGAATTTGGAGCAAATATCATAACAATGCTGCATGAATCATGCCTCTTCGAACAAGAAGCGCATATTTTTTTCTCTCTTGGTTGTTCCCCAATACAACTTTTTACACTAAAAAGAAAGAAAAACTAAGTAACAGAAATTGCAGCGATGGCATGGCGGACAATATTCTTGCTAAATCTATGAATCTTAATTTTGATTTAAGGTATAAAAAACACGATCAAGAAGACACTAAGCTTTTCTGATCTTCACGGAAGTATTCAAGACAGAAAAGAGAGTGAATAACTGTCAGAAGAGTGGATGTGATAATCGTATCATAATATAATGTGTTGCTCATGCGTGAGAAAATATCTAACATGATGCGCCACATTAATCAGCACCTTCTCATATTGTTTACCTTCATGGTAGCGATAAGAACGATGAACGGATGCATAGTTGAATCATGTCGGAAGGCATTGCTGGAGCATTATCTTCGTGTGTTGAAAGACATCAACGATATTTTTTATTTCCATTTTTAGTCTGTCTTACATTATGATTATGTAAAGGGTTAGGTTAAATTTTGTACTCTAAAATATCAATGTATTAATTTTGCAGCCTGATGATGGAGACAACAATCCCTGAAAACTTTGCACGATTATGATATAAATTAATGTTACAAGAATTTGTCTGCCAAACAATGTGGACCCTTACCCTTCACAAAATTATGTCAGTGATATCTAAATAAATCCAGAATTGTTACATTTTTCGAACAGTGCGAGTAACGGCAGGTACAGGGACTCGTATATCAATGTATTAACAGGGTTAATTTTTGTAATTAATGTTTGTAGGTTTCGGGAAGGAAATTTGTTGTGGAAGTTGTGGATCCTGTTACTGATTATGTTGCATTAATGAAGGAATTGTTTGATTTTGATGCTTTGAAAGATCTTATTAAAGGAAATGGTGAAAAATCAGGATTTAAAATATTAATAGATTCATTAAGTGGAGGTAAACCTATCTGAAATATTGTTTTAATGAACAACTTTTATATGTATTTAATTTTAACAATGTTATTATTAATGTTAACAGTAACCGGGCCGTACGTTCAAAGAATTTTTGTTGATTTGCTTGGAGCCTCACCTGATAATGTGAGAAATGTTATTCCTCTTGAAGACTTTGGAGGTAAACATCCGGATCCCAATTTGACGTATGCTGCAGATTTAGTGAATGCTATGAAAGAGGGTGATTACAATTTAGGTGCAGCATTTGATGGAGATGGTGTGAGTAGTTTGTGTTTTTTATCTTGAATGCATATTTAGGTTTATATTGATATGATGTTAAGATCTACTAGTTTGAAATTAGGTGAAAATGCAACAGCATAAACTTTTGATCAATCATGATTTGTGTTATAAACCTACTTTATGTTGGATGACAAATTAATTGATAGAATTGTGACCATTACTTACCTATGGTATTCAACTCCAAATTTTCTGATTCTTCTGAGTAATTTATCTCAAAATACCTTTATTGCAAAATATTTCTTTGCAGAGATCAGTATTTTTTGGTAGTTTTTGTTAGCTTCTTGTATTACTATTCAACAAACGTATCAACTAGTTAAATACTTTATTTATGTTATTTTTTCTTTTGTTTTAGGATAGAAACATGATCTTGGGTAGTAAGGGATTCTTTGTTAATCCATCTGATTCCCTTGCTGTTTTGGCAGATAATTTAGAATGCATTCCCTCTTATAAGAACAAAGTGACAGGTTATGCCCGCAGTATGCCTACAAGTGCTGCTCTAGACAGGTGTGTATTCTCGTCGTAGGTTTACCAGTCAATGGTCTTTTATGTTATTGAAATACTACTTTACAAATTCAAATCCTTTCAAAGAAATGGGGTCTGTTCAACCTTCTTTGTAATGTTGTAATGGATTAAAAATATCAAAGATAAAATAGGTGTGAATGTTTTTTATATCAAAACAGTAGAATTTTAATATTGTAGGCTATGCAGATGATATTATCTTTAGTACAGAGAATGAAAAAATCCTTCAATGTTTCTTTCAAAGATTTGTAAGAAACTGAAAACAAGATGCCAAGGTGTAATCTATAAATAGAAGGAAACAGACTCTGAAAAAGAAGATTCTCAAACAGTTTTGCACTATTTCTGTAAACTTTTTGCTTTGTATGTGGGACTTTTCAATATTTTGAAACACCCCTAACTACAAGAATCATTGCTAGCCACCTTAATTTCTCATTTAAAAATAACGTTCACCTTAATTTTGAGTTAGATATACTGAAAACAACATTTGGCTACGCAAAAACATGTTATTAAGATTTCAAAACTGCAATGGAAAAGCTAGCATCCCCACTTATTAAGAATACTGGGACTACAACAGGACATGCTTTTTAATTGCTTTGTAACATTATACCACTACATAAACCTGCAGAATTGTTTATGTAACTAGCCAATATAATTTTCTGTGCCATAGTGGGAAAGACGTTTTGCTGTCAATCAATTTTTCGGCATCAAGGATCCACTTGGTTTTTGGATTGTAAGACTTCAGAATTTTACGCTTTAATCTCCTACAAATCAGGATTTTATAGCTGATTACTATTTAATCAAGCACAATGTGTTTTCATCATGTATGTGAACACGAAGTCCAATATATGAAAATAATTAATGCACTTTTTTGTGTTGATTCAAAAATTCATAGTAAAGTCAGCCATACATTAATATTTTATCATGCAGAACAATTTTCACAGGCTTAAAAAGAAACAAATTTACAACAATTGATGTAAGTGCAGATGTAATAACTATAAAATCATTAATATGTAATGGAAAAATTGAAATTTTTTTTCATTTTCCTAAATTACCATTTAAAAACTGCAGTGTATGCTACAGAGATTGAAAACAATTTTTTAGTTATTAATCTTCTAGTATAACTCTTACTACAATATTACCTAAGTATAAATAGTCAATGTTCAAAAGATTTTGCTTAGTTATGCTTTTATGCACTTTTTAATACCTTTCCTGCTAAATAAATGCTTTAAGGCAGACAAATTGGGGAAACTGCTGGGCAGATTAAGAGAAACTGATTCAGGTGAACAGCAGGTACCCTGATAAATGTACCAACTCCTTTGATCATTTATTTCTTATTAGTCTTTCATGTTTTTAAGGATGTCAAACTGATATCACCCAATGTCTCTTTTTGTAATTCTCAGTGCTTTAAAGTGTTGCATTTGCCATATAACTGCAGTCGATATTTATAGGTAGAAATATGGAGATTAAGAATGATTATTTGAAGGAAATATCAAATCAATTTCATTAAAGTTATGAAATTTTTATTGTGGATTTTCAATACATTTTTATTACAGTAAGCATAAGCATTCCTTTTAAAGATTCCTTTCTTTTATACTTTTATACATGATAGTTCAGTTGCATGACAAGGCAAATGTAATCTGTTCAGTTCTTTCAAGACTGCTTAAATCCAGAACAGTGGTGGAAAATAAAACTAAAGAACTTCAACTAATGTGAAATACATCAAATGTAAATGACGAATGCTCAAGTAAATACTTCCAAAGTAACAGAACAGAAATAAGAGCCCTTACTAGACAAAGAGAGGACAAAGTCAATAGCCCAGAAGAGAGATGGTCGATTGAAAATTGAAAACAATAATTTCTCATAAAATTAAAAAATACTTAAAAAACAAATTCGACAGAAAAACACATGAATGTTCATAGGAGGACTGTCTCCAAAGACAAAGGAGGAACACCCATATAACAATTAAATAAATAGAGAAATAGCATTCACATAACTTAAAACAATTAAACACCAACAAAGCCTCTAAGATTTTCTGAACTGGGTGAACATGACATCTAGTCACTTAGTATGTGACCATTTCATTTTCTCTAGGAGAGAACATATGCATGAAGTGAGAGGCCACCTAAGGATCGTAAGTACTAGAAAGTGGATGTCCAAGAAACAAGGCCTAAACGACTAACACGGATAATTGGAATGTGGAATGTGAGAGGAATGAATGAACAAACTTGTAAATGGAACAAATTCAATAGAATGTTGATGTGGCTTCAAACGCCAAAAAATGTTAATTTTCATGGGAAAGGAGAGGAATAAAGTCAGTTATTGATTATGTCATTGTAAATGAGAATGTTTTTGATACAATAAAGTTTTCAGAGGAAGTTTATTGGACACAAATCTTTGTCGTGGAAATCAAAATCAAGCCCCAAAACTGCAAAACGAAAACCAGGGAAGCCACAACAAACTTCACGTTAAAATTAGATCTTTTAGAAGAAAGTATCAGATATATGTTTGAACTTGAATTAGTGAAGACTGTCATTGAGGGAGAAATAATAGAACAAGTATCAATATTCTAATATTTAGGCAACATGATAGTATTTTAGACTCAAGATCTGGAACACAAAATTATGAAATACAGAAGAAGAAAAAATGAAGAATTTGGAGGCACTTTGTAAGAGACATGGCGCAGGATTTGACACAATATGACAGCCAAGCCAGTGCTACAACTAGGGATCTCAAACTTCAGTCCTGAAACATACATTCAGAAGTTGGAAGCAGAAAACTGGAAGTATTGCTAGAATATAATCAATGAATTAACGAAAGACAACTACAAAAGGCTGTTCCAAAAGACAGCATTAGGATGGAGATATAAAGGAAAGAATTTCAAATTTACTTTTGAATCGGGAAAAGTTCCTTCTGAGTAAATAATTTTATATATTTATACATTGTATGTACTTGGTGCGACAGCCTGTGAACAGGCTAAGGCCTACCGATGACATACCTGCATTGCAGCCATGGGTTAAGAGGGGTACGTGTAGTTAGCACATAGTCATATTCCGGTCTTCTCAACCTGAGAAGTGAATTTTATCATAGTCACACAGCAACATATGCTGGGACATTGCAAGGAAAATGCCTATTTAAAGAAGCACGTTATGATGATGTAGGGATACAGACAGAGATGGCCCAGGACATCAATTTGTCACTGCAGTGCCTGTGATCATAAGGTTCTAGTGTTAAAGTCCCGACAATGCCAGGAGTTTTGACACTAGCTACATAGCTAGCATTTAAAAAATTATAAATGAGTTTTGTATCTTTTCTAGAGTAATATTTGAGTAAATGTATAATATTATTAACAAAATATTATTAATTCAATGGTCCGTAATAGGCTAAGTAATTTTTGCAAAACTTGGGACTTTTAAAAATTTATTTTTTCAATAGATTTACAATGTATTACAATACATTTTCTTTTAACCATTTGAGGTACATTATATTTTTCTTTTGTTATATTATTATAATTAACTTCTTCCACTTTATTTTATATTTACAATTTTGTATGTTTACATTTTTCTCCATTGTCTTCAGTATACCTTGTATCCATGTTAAAAATGTTTCATTTATTTCCCTTCTTCTGTACCTTTCAAGACTCTTCCTAAAGAATGTGTAATTTGATCATATTTTCTCCAGCTGCTCTTGAAGTTTTGTTTTTTCAGGCAAGTCAAATAAATGTCTCATTCAGCCTGTATTATTACATAGTGTGTTTGTTTTCTTAATTCCAAGTTTGCTTTTTATTTCTCCCTTTTTATCTTTATTTACTTCCCATATATTTATTTGAATTTAGTTTAACCATACATGTGACTAACATGCCACTGTAATTACTATTTACAATTGATTTTCATTTCGATTTTGTTACTTTTCAGAGTTGGTGAATCAAGGAAAATAAAAGTTTATGAAACTCCCACAGGATGGAAGTATTTCGGAAATCTAATGGATGCCGAAAAAATTACAATTTGTGGTGAAGAAAGTTTTGGGTAAATAGGCTTAAATTAATGTAGCATTTATTAAGATGTTTTGCATTCTATAATATATGTAATATTCTCACCTCTTTACAATATAACTTGATTGGAAGTTAATATTTTGTTAAGTTTTGATAAAACTTCAAAGTAAGTGAATTTGTGAAGGTTTATAATGTTGTACGAGTTCTTAAAAAGGTGTTTTTTTCAGTACTGGGTCCAATCACATCAGAGAAAAAGATGGCATTTGGGCTGTTTTGGCATGGCTCTCAGTTGTGAGTTCACATCAGTCATCACTGGAAGATATTTTTAAAAAACATTGGGAAAAATATGGAAGAAATTACTTTACTCGGTGAGGAAATAGATCAAGTTTAGCAAAGAGTGATAAAAGAATCAAGATCCTACCCTCTCTTCCAAAGATCAATCCTTTTTTATTGTTTTGGGAAGGAAAGTCATATTTAGCAAGACTGTTTATATCCTTGTATCTAGATAATGTTGAGTTACTGTTTTGAAGAATCGTTGTGTTATTGGATTTGTAATTCATAGCCTAATAAATTACATAGGAGATTAGTACTTAGGAAAGAATGTGACCCATGTCACATATGTTTCTTAAATTTTTAAGGTATGACTATGAAAATTGTGATGCGGATAAATGCCGTCAAATGCTGGAAGAATTTGAAAGCAAGGTCCTATCTTCTTCATTTATTGGGAAAAAATATCAAAGTTCCTCTGGTAAAACGTATGTTGTTAAGTTAGCAGATAACTTTAATTACGCAGATCCTGTTGATGGAAGTATTGCTTCAAAGCAGGTGAGTTGACTGTTATATTTTAAAAGTAATTTTTAAATAAAGTTAATGAACAGTTCCTTTGGTGGAAATAGCTTTAGGTTTTGTTACCATATGTTTGATGAGTTGCTCTCTTTAATTAAAAAGCTTTCCATATTTGATTGGTTACAAAGGCTTTCCAGATCTTCATTTGAATCTAATTGAACTATATATATGATTAACTAATGCGTAAAGAATGTAACATTTGAGAAAGTAAAAATGCAAATCTTGATTTCCAGAAATGGAATGAGTAAATATTATTTAAAGAGGAGTTGGAAATAGTCATCATTTGACTTCACCTTTTTTATTAGTATGCTAATGAAGATGCTGTATAATAACTTTACTACTTACTTTCAGGGTTTTCGGATTATATTTGAGGATGGGTCACGTTATGTTGTAAGATTAAGTGGAACTGGAAGTTCTGGTGCGACAGTTCGTGTGTATGTTGAGTCCTACGAATCTTCACAAATTCTGGAAGACCCTCAGGTTGTAACTTATAATTAACTTTGAAACTGTTGGTCACTTTAAAATGTTTAGTTTTATATCGTGTTATGTGTAATATTCTTCTATTTGATTGTACTAAATATATGCTTTTATCTTTCAGGTGATGCTAGGATCTTTAGTTAATATTGCTTTGGAAACCCTAAGACTCAGAGAGTACACAGGTCGTGAAGAGCCTACAGTAATAACATGAACATCTGTTATTGCTAGTTTTCATGTATGGGGAAATTGTGGGTAGTTATTTTGTAGTAGATTATTCAAGTTCCTTGAGTATTCTTATAATGAACTGTGCAAGGCATTGTGAGTGTTTCATTATTGTGTAAACAAAAGGCCAGGAGAAATTATTGTTGTAGTTTGAGAGGAATAGTTTAAATATTGTTTTTTAATTGAACTGAATCTGACATATGCTTTTAAAAATTGTTGAATATTGTATGTAATTAGTTTTATATTGTTGTTGTTGTAATGAACTTTTGAAAGATTGAAAATATTGGATTTCTTTGTTACACCCTACTTACTTTCTACAGGTAACCAAGTAGGATTGGGCATTGGTTGTTTCATGCCCAGCCATCAACTGCTCGATATCAGTAATATATGGTAGGAAATGGGCTAAAAACAATAAGGAACTAGTGCTACAACAGCATACACTTTCTCACATTGTTTTCAAAAGAGATCAATGAAAATAAGCATCCCTTCTTCAATCCATGTAAAAAGTTTGAAGAAAGAAATTGGAGTATTTTTGACAATTTTTGTTTAATACATTGCATTAATTTCAGGTACAAATTACGCAAACACTTGTTTTTTCAAAAAATTGTTTACTACCTTTTTGCAAAAACCTGATTTCTTACAACACCCTTTGTCTCAGGCGACAATCTTTATCTTCACTTTTGTAGATTTGAAATGCTAACTTTTTGCAAATTTAAAAAAAGCTGAGTGTTTGCTGAAAATTACAATAGCACCTTAGGTTTTAATCCCCCTTATGAGGAGGAATATTTTTTTTTAAAATTTAAGCTGTTTTTGAAAAAAAAAATTAAAAAGTAAAATTGTGTAAATTTCGCGCAAAATTACATAAAAACTACTCCTATTTTCAAAAAATTGAACATGACATTACTTCAACATGTCTTTAAAGAACACATTGTAATAAGGAAAAAATCAGTAGTAGTTACAAATTATCATGTTTCTAAACCTTTTTATAAGTATGGTATATCATATGCTAAATTGGCAGTTTATAAGTAACGATCAATAAAAAACCCTGCAAGTGTGATGGTGGATTACACCCCAGTCCTACAGATTCCAAAGAACTTTTTTAAAAAATCTTTCTCAAAAGAAAAAAAATGAAATTTGAAAAATGAGAGATTTCCGTTCGCCAGAACCAGGTGACACTAGCACTTTTCATTGAACACTTAATTATTCTTATTAGCTCTCCCAATATTTTACTACTTGGATAAATGATTTTAAGAAAATTAAAATATTAAATTTAAAAAATAGAAATAATTTGTTATTAAAATCGTTGAATTCACAGCTGCAAAACGACGAATTAGGGTATTATATTTTTCATTATATGATACAGATGTAAAGAGATAGAATTTATATAAAAACGTATGGCGAGTGTTATCACATTACAAATTCGCTTTCTTACAAACATTACTGTTCTGGGCTGAAGAAAGTCGACAGGATTCCACAAAATGGGTCAAGCCTGTTCTACTTTTTTCTTTTTAAGACATTATTTCTCTTCTCTTCTTATTCCGTTTAGATATTTTGTCTTTCCTCAAGTACTTATTAACTGCACCGCCTCCAGGCGCTTTTGTAAGTGATCCATTGCCCTATTCTGTTGTTTCGAGCAACACTGTAATGCGCGAAAGGTCCCAGCTGCCCACGATCACTCGCTTATTGGCTGCACACACACACACACACACACACACACATAATATAATATATATATATATATATATATATATATATATATATATATATATATATATATATATATATATACTCTATGCTTGGCTGACACCTAGAGAGAGACCTTACTCCTTTATACTCTCTGCCTTATTCCATCAACTATTTTCGGTTGCGTCGGCCACACTCCAATACATGGAAGTCGCCGTATTTTTTAATAGCACCGCTTGTCAAGTGGAGTAAGAAAGATATTAGCTATCACACGCCTCTGGACAACAGTCGAAGACATTTTCCATGCGTACCACTCGGTTGAAATACAGCGAGTTTCAGGATACCCATTCGTAACTAAAAGGCCAAGGACAGAACGCGCGGTTATGTTTTCGATGCATTTTCGACGTTTCAATACTTTTTTCTTGAGTTCCTCATTTTTTCCTGCACTTCCTGCATTTTAATTCTTCTCTCTGGGACTTTTTTTTTGGGGGGGGGGGTCATGTCCTTGCTTGATCCGGCACTGCGATTTCATCAGTGACATATCCCATAGCTTAAATTACACATGAACTTCTTTCAGTAAACAAATACTCTTTTTTTTGCTTTTGCTTTTAGGGCATTTAAAAACATTTAATGAAATTTTTTTTTGATAATTTTTGGCGATGTGTTAGGTCATCAAAATCCGCTCCTTAGTTATTAAATTTTCCCGTCCAAGGGATACTACATTAAGATTAAGGCAATAAATCACAGACGTGAACGGTTTGTAATTTATTGAGTATTTATTTGAAATATGCTCCAACACCTGAATACTATTTACAATAATTAAAATAAAAAAATATTGACCCGTTACCAGAAGTAATGTTCCTGGTCACTACCACCGCTGGCCTGATAATTTGATATCTTGTTTGGTGTGATGCACCAGTTGCCCTACGTGAGCATACAAGCGAGTATGCCGCACCTTCCGCCTCGACGTAGCACGCCGGCTGCAGTTCCCTGCCTCAGTAGCCTACGTATTGAAATGCAGCGCCGCGCACAACCCTCACGACTTCCTACCGACGCGCCCAAGAATCAGAAGCAGGAGTTTAGGTCCGGGGTCCACTTATATTACTTTCTGGGCCGCTGGACGGAACTGCGTCATCTCGCTGTTTCCACCGACGCGTTTCCAGAGCTAGCATGTCTACAGGGTTCACAAGTGACCACCCAAGACACGGCACCCCTTTCCTTTCGCTCCCTAGGTTTGCCATTGTTCAGCCCGGCGCCCCTTCCCGCCAGCGCTGCCTGCTGTCGCAAACTACTTCCTCGTGCATTTCATGTGCATGAAATGCATGTGTCTAATATGTTGTCACGTTTGTACTTATATGACGCCACACCGTCAGTGAACAACACTAGCTGCCAAACCGTTCAGCCCATTTTCTCCAAAATTGATATTCCTCAAGAGATCTGGTTGTCATGGACCCTGGAATTTGAAATTGATATTTTAATTTTCGGTGGTACTTTACATGAAGTCCCTGGGACATTTGTCAAATTTAAAAAAAGCTCCATCGTTTTTTTATTTTTTATATTCTTTTTAATTTTTTAAATTTTTTATTATTATTATTTTTTAGTGTCACGGACGTTTAAGAGATTGGTACGGTCTCATGATCGTTAAAACCCCTAGTTTATGAAAGATTGCAAAATTTCATATTTTTTCGGAGTCTTGCTACAACTAGAATATTAAAGATAGAGATTTTATTGCCTTAATGAAATCTGTTCCTTAGAGATATGTTTTAAAATAAGAGCATGTACAATTTTTCGAAAATTTGAGTACTTTTCGAGTAATGTAGCGTGAAAATGCGTGATGTTTTAGCACCACTAGTTACTTAAAGTATTTACTTTAGTTAAAGTTTAAAGTTAATGGTTACTGAATTTTTTTTTGGAGAGGAGGAAATTTCCCTAAACGTCCTCCCCCCCCCCCGTGGATCCGCACCTGCTTAGGTACACATTCTCGCTGTGAAATGTTATTTTTTCTATAAATTAGAGTTCTATTTTCACAGTAACCCAGTTGTGTCCAATAGTGAACTGGGGTAAAAGAGGCCAGGAGAAACAGTAAGCTTTTTTAGATGTCCTACTATTGTCAAAAATCAGGAATTTAAAATTATAGCACCCTCGAAACCAAGAGGACCAGAGTAGATTTCTGCTTCGAAGCAAGAAAAGTTAGTTGATAATTTTAAGTCAATATTAAGTTACAGGTTCCGCACAAGTTCGTAATTCGGAATTCATACGTCTAAATATTTTCCTCAATTCACTTGAAAACGTATTTAGGTTTTTCACATTTTTACAATAAATAAACAATTCACTAAAGGACATAGCTCTCAATAAATAAGTTGTCATTTACTTGCATTGCCTGAGCGTGTTGTACAAACACAGACTCATAATATGCATGAGCCACTACAATTTTCGAGGAATTTCAAGATTTTATTTGTGTAAAAACTAAGCCATCTTCAAGACTAGTTGCCTAAAAGCTCAGCCAATATTACGTAAGTCACCAAGTGAACTGTTTCCTTCTGCCACGAAGTCGCGTCTCAATTGCATTGCAAGAAATAGCATCAAATGTTCATGAAAACTTGCCAAGCAAAAGATATTGGAAATACGTTTCATAAAAAATGTTCACATTAAAATCATTGGAGGTAACACGTAATATTTTAAGCGCGTGACTGAATATTGAAATTCAACCATCAAATTTTGAATTCAGCACAGGAAACTGCAAACATTTTTTAAAAAATTGATAAGTGAAATATTTATTTATATTTTTAAATAACCATATATTTATTACAATTAATACATTGAAAAAATTAATAGTCAAATAATATTGAATTTTGGTTGAAGTTCCTTTACTTCGTGAAATATTACGAACGTTTTTGGGACTGTGTTTATGAACATTCTGGATTTTTCAAAACGATTATTAAAGTTTAATGTGGGTAATATTTCTTTCGATGATAATAATTAATACACATTTCTACACGACAAATTTTAAAATCCGTTACTTTATCCAAATGTATGGAAGGAGTCACTTCTACGCTAGTAGCACAGGGACTCGAAATTCGTTGGCGCTTTGTATAACCGATGAAAGGGCACGTGGAACCAAATATTTCATACATTTCATTATATTATAAAAGTAGCATCTTAGCATCATTGCTAAGGTCACGATAATATTTACTTCGAACCGTTTTCAAAAAGTTCATTCCGGTCCGTGATTAAGACAGCTTCGGTTTTTTGCACTGCCATCTGTAGCTGTCGTCTAACAATCTTTTAACCCTAAACAGCGCTTCGTTCACTCTCCATTCAAGGAGTTTAATATAATCGCTGTGGCTTATTATTAGCGTGTCATCAACATAGCCTATGAGCTGTGTATTGATCGGCAGGTCAATGCTTAGAATGTCATCATACAGGACATTTCATAAAAATGCCCCTAGTCGGGACCCTTGAGGAACACCGCACGTCACATTCTCTTCTATCCTGATACTGTCCACATAAGTTATCGTCCTTTCATTGAGGTAGTCTTCAATAATACTTATGAGATATTCCGGAATAATCTAGTTAAGTACACTTCTTTAATGCCCTTCCACCTGACGGAGTTGAAGGTTTCTAATGTCAATTGCCACGAGTGCGCAGAATTACTTTTTCTTGCCAACTCCTCTTCTGGCTGCGTCTGCAATGGACTACTTCTAGGATGGCATCCGTCGTCGAGTGGCCTCTCCGGAATCCATATTGCCTGTGGAAAAAGCATATAAGCCCCTCAAGCCTAGAGAATATTAAACCCTCGAGCAACTTGCCCATGGTATCAAGGAGGCACAGTGGTCTGTATGACGACGTCCGATCAATCGTCTTGTTGCCCTTTCGAAGGAGTATCAGCTTTTGTCTCTCGTCTGCCATTCTCAAGGCAGCTGTTATAGATTGACAAAAGGCATTCGTGATATTCTGTGTCGATGTTCTCTTTTGTGCCCTTATTTTTAGTATTTCACAGGGAACTCCATCGAAACCTGGGGCCTTCACAATTTTTATGCTTTTCGCCGCTCTTCTCAGTTCGTCAATCGTGAAGTAGAATGCTGCGTCAACCGTGAAGTCGTCCTGTCTTTGTCTCGCCCAAGCATCTCTAGTGCGAAAGAGGTCCCTAATAGCTTTCCTCATCCATTATGGATCATTCAAACCAAGTATCTTCCCGTCTATCCTGAATTTATTATTTACTATTTTATAAGCCATGCCCCATGGGTCGTTATCGATCTGTTCTAGGAGCACCTTCCAGCATCTGCCTTTACTTCTTTTTATTTCTCTCTTAAGCCATTTGGACAATTCTTTATACTGTTCCCAGAGGTGCAGATTCGTCTTTGCCCTTGTCGCTATTCTTCTTGCCTTAATACAGTTCGTTCGTAGTTCAGCAATTTCTGGTGTCCGCTAATACATTTGCTGTTTTCTTCTCAGACATCTACGTCTAGGCATGGATACGTCGCGAGCTGCTACCACTATTTCCTTCGTTGACTTAACCATATCTTCAAGCGTTTCCGCCTCTTTCGTCCAACCCATATTAACCAGCAACTTGGATTCTTCCAAGGAGCGTTTTGCCTCGTCTTCATTAATTTTTTTGGGATTCCCAGGTGGTCTCTCTTTATCTTGCATTTTGACCTGTTGAAGCCCCTCCGTTAATGGAGCCGAATATCCTATGTACCGATGGTCACTCATGGTTTCTTGGTCGAGCACTGAGCAATTAGCGATACCTTTAGCTAATTTGGTGGAGCTAATTGTCAAATCCAAAATAGGCGATGCGTCTCTACGTTGAAAGGTGTATCCGTCCCCAGTTTAGAATGATAAGATCATTTCTTGCAATGAATTCACATATGATAATTCCTCTTCTATTGGAGCGTGTCTCTCCCCATTCGGACGACTTACCATTGAAATCGCCAGCCACTAATACCTCGCTTTTAGACGTCTTCAAACTATCGTCTAGCTCATCGATATCTTTCTGAATTTTTTCTAGCGTATCATTCGGGGAAAAATAGCAGCTATAAATTCTCATATTGACCACTTCCAGCTACATAAACTCGTATTTCATTCTCTAGTGTTTCCTGATATTCAGATTTTTATTATGCATTATTATGCCGGCTCTTCCAGTAACATCCTGATACCACATGTCGCTGTGAGGTTGCTGGCTGACGAGCAGCACGTTAACCTCCCTTTCAGCAGCGGCCTGTAGCATCAAATCCTACGCCTGTTTACTCCTACCCAAATTAACTTGTAGGTATCGGAGCATACTTTCTCTTTTTGGCTTTATTAAACGCCATGATGAAGGAGATACATTTATTACTTCCTAACAGATTAATATCGTATTTGTTTCCCTCCTTACATACAACACACTGCAGTTTACCAGTACACTCCTTGCTACCATGTCCGGATTTGCCACATCTGTACCATGCTTTACTTCGATCGGAACCTCTGCACGCAGTTGAGATCCGTCCGAAGTCCAAGCATCAATAGCATCTTAATATCCGCTGCTTTTCTCTGATTCCGCAGTTAACCCAGCCGATTTTAATTTTTCCTGCGGTAATGAACTTTTGTGCTACCATTTCACCCAGTAGCATTGTGGCTATTTGTATTCCTCCATATCCCCTACGTAACCTACAGGAATCGGAGATCTGGTCTGCCATTACGTCTATTATCTTGCTCACCGCATCCAGTACCTCTTCAATCGAGACAGTTTCGTAAATATTCTTAATTTCTACTAGACGTTTCCGCGTAAGAGCACTCACTTTGGCTTGTTTCCCCACCGCCTTTTCCAGAGCCTCGTTCAACGCGGCAATACTGCTTTGGGGTTAACTCCTCGAGGAGGGTTGGCTCCGCCTACCTAAAGAGCCCCTCCTTCACTTAAAGAGGAAGTTTAAGGTGTCCGATCATTCGCCTCCTAAGTCGGTGGGACTCTTGAGACTATCATTGAGATACTTAAACTCCACCACCAACTACAAGGTCGTGTAGTCCCGTGGTGAAGATTATTATTATTATTATTATTATTATTATTATTATTATTATTATTATTATTATTATTATTATTGTTGTTGTTGTTGTTGTTGTTGTTGTTGCATACTCTCATTAAGTTTTATTGACTTTGTATTTATTTATTTTTATATTGATCATTTTGTTTTATATTTAATTTACTTGTTAATTTAGAAAAGAATTTGATTTCATTTGCTTGTTGATTTGTTACTAAACTTTTCGAAAATATTAATTATGTATAACATAAGTCTCATTTTTACCTGTTGTCAACTGCCATCTTGTTTTATTTATTTACTATTTATTAATTAGTTTAGATAACAATTTGATGATTTTGATTTCTTATTGCCTATTGAGTACTGTCATTACAAGTTTTTATTTTGTTAATTGTGTACAACTAAATCTCCATCTTTACTGTTAACTGCATACAAAGTAACACACCCCTCTCTGACAAGAACAAAAAGTACTTAGAGAGGGTCTGGAGTGTACAGGATAAACAAATTTTGATAAGAAAGGTATTTTTGCTAAAAGGTTTGATGTGATGTAATGTAGTCAAGCAAAACTAGTACTCTTTGTGACTTTTGTTTTTATGGTGATGGTTTTTGTAGTTCTAAATGTTTTAAATGTAAATAGTAACGTTTGTACACTATCAATGTAATTCTTAGGAAAAATATTATTATTAATATTATTATCATCATTATTAAATAACGAATTGACATCAGTCAGTTGGGGCGCAGTTATTCAATCGGGAGCTTTGTTACAATTTAATTTTTGATATTCACGCATCCCATTGGATTATTGCTTTCCAGCTGATCGAACGTAATTTTACCGTTCTTTGTAATCCGTCATTTATAAACTCAAATTTAAACTGAGTTTGCTCACCAAGGTCACTGCTAGAAACAGAGGGAGACATTATTATCCAATCGTAATCTCAAATATCAAAATGTGAGGTCATAACGAGGCTCTCTCTGTGGCCGCCGACTTCGTCCACCTTGTGACCTTTATGTGATACTTTGTTTAAATTTGAGTGTAACAATCACATTGCTACACATGCTCTCTGATGTGTCCGCGTCGTGTCGCACTGTGTTCAGGGCCCGGCAACTCTCCATCAAAATCGGGGCAAAGCTCGAGGTTGCTACTATAGGAAGCGCTAGTGTCGCCGGGTGCAGCTGTAGGTTAGGCTCGCCAACTTTCCCACATACAAATTGGCTAATTTGTGAGAAATACGAAAAGTGTCTTCTAAATGTACAATTATTCATAATCTCTACTTGTAAGTAACCTCTGAAGAAGCGCCAACATAGACGTTATCTTATGTAACATTATGGTCCTGCTTGCGACTCACGCACCAGTCACGCACGTTTAAAGTATCGTTGGCAGCAGTTCCTGTTTTAGTTCCTGTGAAGAAGGTGATGCAGCAGAGCGCGCCACCATAATGGACTCCACCACGTTATATGGGAGTTATAGGGCCCTGACTGTGTTGGTGTTCATATGGGACCGGTAGGTTATTGGCACTAGTGTGAGCAAGACGTATCTCCGGTGTACTGAATAGTGGAGAGCAGATTGCTGTTTGTGACAGTACGTATTTATGTATGTAACCTTAAGTTATAGAAATGTATGCATTAGAAAGTAATATTCAGTTGTCAGGAGTGTATACGAGACGAAATAGTTGCATTTACTGCTGTCTCCGTCTAGAAACCAGTAAATTATCGTGAGATGGTTTGTGTTCCGAATTATTTTAAATCATTCTGTTTTCGCAAAAGAACTCGTGGCATTCTGTTTCTCTCCCTGCAAAGGTTTTGATAAATTTTAAGCCTAGTGTGTTAAAGCACCCTCATTGGTTTAGTCTCATTTGTGTACTTGGTTATATTCTTTCCGAGGGTGTTTATGACCTTTTGTTCGCTCATTTTTATTTAATTCCAGCCTTTATTCTCATACTTCGTATGTTTATATTCTTAATATTATGTTTTCTCATAACATTTCATTCTATGTTCTTTGCTTTGTTATCCCATGGCAGATCAAAGTTGGATGTTTAATGTTGTGTTCCATTCACTTTAATTTGTAGGTTCATTATTCAGTTCCTTGTCTTTTTTTACTTTAGTTTTGTCATTCAATTTATGTTGTCAGTAATTTGTTTTCAGAAATTTGAATTATGATCTTAAAATATTTTGAAATATGACATTAAAGTAATTTTGTTTACGATTCTTGGAAGTTTGAGACATGTTAATAGACTTATAAAAATGGGATTTTCTAATAATTTTTATTGTTTATAGAATTTTCATTTTGAATGATTAAACAAAATGTTAATGTTACAAGGTTTATATTTTTGCTGTTGTCTTATTATCTTTGATTTCTAGTTCTTTTTTTAGTGATTTTTCTGTTAGTGTATTTTGGTTTTATTTTTAACCTTTTTCTTGCAGACTGATTCTGCTTATTCATGATGGCCAAACAATTAATTCAGAGTGACAAGCAATCAGTTGCTCAAACCAGTCGCCAGAATCCATCTGCCAATTGGAAGAAGTTCCTTGCTGTAAGTTAGTCTTTTTAAGAATGGGACAATGCTACTTTTTGTATTCATATGTAAACAGTGTGTACAAGTTGTTGGGATGAATACAACAACTGTTTGTGTGTATGTGTGAATATTCAGGGGAAAGGTGAAGGCAAGTGGTTAGATAGAGTGAGATAAGTTGATTTGAAAAAAAGCTGTGGCTATACTTTTCATCTGCAGGAAAGATAGAGAGCTTACTAACGTAAGTGTTTAAGTATAAAAATAGATTTGTAATTTTGGTTTGGCGTGCCTCAATATTGTGGAATATATTTTGCAGAGGGTTGTGGTTGTACAAGCAGAGCAGGTCATCTTCACCAAAAAAGATTTTTAGCATTGAAATTAGGATTGGAAATAATCATGATTTTTTTTTTAAATCAGAAAAATCAGATTTTTTTATTTCAATCAGATTTTTTATTTTAATAAATTAAAAAATAAATTGTGTTACATGTTTTTACTTTAAACTAAAGTCATTAAATGATTTATTTACCCTTAATTACTTTAAAAAGCAGAAAAACGTTTATTAAAACCTCAGTTTTGAAATTTATTATTAATTGTAATTTTATTTAAAAAAGATATAAGATAAGATGAAATATAAAATTTGATGGGTCCAGTGAAATATCTTCAAACTCACAAAGTCTTTAAATTTGATTTATTTATATTTCCGTACTGTGATGTAATGTATTATCTGATTTAGAAAAAAGACATTCTTCGTTCAAGGAAATTTTTTACCCTTTTGTGTGTGTGTGTGTGTGCAATAATGCCATAATCAAAAAGCACTTATTGTTGGAAACAACTGAATTCATTGAAAAACTTTAATGTTAGACAGTTTTTGATATATTAAATTCTAATTTATAGTTGTCCTGTTATAAGAAAATACAGGGTATAATGGTTGTTACATGCGCACTTTAACCCTTCAACGGTCAGTGAAAAGTATGCTTCCCACTTAAAATGGAATTTCAACAACATAAACATAAAGAGAAAGGTTAATATTATTAAAAGTAGTGAGATTAACGATTGTTTTCATTACTGTTAACATTACTTTTTGGTCTTTAAATGAGAATTAATATAATTACATTTTTATTAATACTCACCATCTTTAAGATGTAATTTAAGTGGCTTTAACAAACATTTTAATACTAACCTAGCATTATGGACCCCTTGAAGACTTAAACATGTTTTTCTTGAAACTAGCTTGTGCATGTTAGCGCAGTATTGCTGCTAAATTAGTTTTTACCTACGGACAATTAAATGCTGGATAAAATTAATCGCTATTAGTATATGACTCTATTACCAATTGTTCATTGTTCTTAGATTCATAAGTTAGTTCATTTTATTGAATATTACATTGCATTTTTTTCTCAAAGAAGATCAATTATGTAAAAACGTTTATAAGATATATAATATATTCTTTACATCAACTTTGCAATTGATTTAAGTGTTTTTATCTGAATAATTTTTAATTTACAAATATTTAAACAATACATTTTTAATATTAAAACATTGATTGAAACCATTGATTTAAAAAAAACATTTATTTAAATCATGATAAATCAGTTATTTAAATCATACGAACCTTTATCGAAATGCTTTCTAATTTTTGTAATTTTTTAGATAACCGTAAATTGGGCAATGTTTGTGTGCGTAAAAAAGCTTGCATTATAAGAATCTCGTAACACATATAAGCCGAGTGGGTAAGTTAAATGATGTTAAAAGTTTTGAAATACAATTGTCATTTTGTTTTTAGGCTATGCTTAAATTTTTTAATCGTTTTATTTGGGGCATTAACCCATTGATTACATAGTTGTTAGCAACCGACTTGTAAAAATTGTTAAAACATAATTGCTTTTTTATGTCTGAATATATCTTATGTAGGAATTCATGTATGAACAGTATATTATAAGTTGTTAAAGTGATTGCTTGTGTATGTGTGAAAAATGGTGAAGCCAAATGTGGGCTTACTAATGGGAAACGCAAAATGCTGAAACTCCTAACGTCAATAAGAAATGCCTCACAATAAAATGAATCAGAAATGACAGCAATTGTTAAAGGATTGAGGAATAAGAAATCCACAGATGTAGGTTAGATTTCTGATTACTTGGTAAAACATGGAGGCAATTGGTTGCAAAACAAGGGTTTGCACATAATTAGTTTCAACCGTTTCTTACCAACTGTAAACAAATTGTGGAAATTGTGGTCACTTGTGGTAATACCAGTATAATTTCTAAGTATCTAAATATGCTATTGTATTCTACAGAGTTCTGTTGTTGGGCCATTATTATTTCTTATGTATATAAGTGATCTGGAGTATTACATCAGCCAAGAAAAAGGAAACTTTTTTTTACTGATAACTCCACTATTTTCTTATTGGGTTGTAATGCAAACAGTTCAAATTAAAATGAATGAGACAGTAAATTAATTCCAATGATTTGATAGGAATGGGCTAGGAATAATTAAAGATGAAACTATTTGCAATTTCTTTTCATCCACCCCCAAAATATCAGCGTTGAATGTCCAACTGTAAACATTTAAAACAAAAACATTTCTTCCATGGACAAAAAAATGTGTTGAAATGGAAATCGTATATTCAAGAACAATCGAAAAAGTTTGGTAAAGTCTGTTTTACTTTACGACACATAGGGTGAGTGCTGCAAATCGAATCAGCTCCTGTATTGCTCACTCCACCTTATTATATGGAATAATGTTTTGGAGTGTCTCACCTCATGCCATGTAGGTATGATTTTTTTAACGTCAGAAAAACACAATTTTGTATAATGGTGCAAGTTAGTTGAAACGCAAGTTGTTGACAACTTTTTAAAATACTATACATACTACCATTACTATGTATAGAAACAGTAATGTTTGTGAAATATATTTCCCATCCATACAATGTAATCATTTCTCATAAATCGAGGAATAAAGATCATCTTATAAAAGTTTTATTTAATCTTATTCCACTGCATGTATTTTTTGGTAGTTTTTGGAAGACTATATTTTCCCATTCAGGTTATTGCAATATACCAAATGACTAATTTTAGCATGTTCAATACCAATTAAAACAAAATTATTTAAATTCATACTCATTATAATGTCAAAGATTCGCTCTCTCTGGCTTCTCTCCATTGTTTTCTTGGTCAACCAGGATCTATTTTTCCAGCTGGTCGATAGTGGTAGGTCACTTTTGTGTAAGCCTATCATCTTCCATTCATTGTATGAATTAGGTCCACACTGAACTGTTCTCCTTCAATATGGAGAAAATGTTGAGGTCTTTTCAGATGCTTTCATTTTTGATCTGCTCTAGAAGGCTACAGCCTTCTACGGCTCTTAGAAATCTCATTTCGGAAGCTTGTGTATTACTGCTTTGAAATGAAATACTAAGAAATGTATCAAAGAAAAAAATCCTCAATCTTCTTGGTACTTTTTACAATCGCTGCACAGAGCCACACTTCACAATCTGTGCTAAATACATGATTACTACTACTACTAATAATAATAATACATTATTACCAATTTTTTGATATTGTTTCTTCTTACACATTTAGATGAATGACGCTGCATAGTCTTGGAAACTTTGTGTACATCTGAATGATCTTTTCTTATGTTATGCAATTGTTCTTCCAAAAATTGTTTCTGTTTGCAGGAAAGTGGCAGCGGTACTAAGAAGAAAAAGAGAAACAACACAAACAAACATGAAGTTCGTAATTTGGAATTAGACCTGCTTAATGGTGAAGACAATTCATTTCATAAAATACTTCAAAGGTAATTGCAGAACTATCCATTATGTTAATTTTTGTCTTTGCAATCAGAAACAGTATTGCATATTTCAAAATTCAATGTGAAATATGTAACTTTCCTTATCATTAAAATGTTAAAAAATTAAGCAAAGTGATTTACCAGTAAATCTGTTAAAATAATTGTAATCTTGAATATTTTTTCTGAATTGTTTATTTATTCATATTGCAAATTATTTATGTAAATGCAAAAATATATATAAATTTTTTTTTCAGATTGGGAAAATTTGTATCATTCTTTTTCTATGTAAGATAGCAGAAATCATATAAGTAAAGTTGGTGAATACATTAGCTACTTTTATTAAATAGTCTCTTGCATAATAGAAGGTTTGTTATGTAATATGATTTCCCATATATTATAACAAGGGGTGAATTTCTGAAAATACAATATGTGGGTTCAAAATTGAAGTAGGTATAGTAAAGGAGTGAGGTTGGAAATCTGGAACTGAAGAAAACTTTGCAGATTATACTTCTCTCCCATAAGTCACGTTCATTGTGTGCTTGGTTTTCTTCTTTAATGAATGAAAAGGTTCTTCAAGTGATATTGTAATGATATTGTCAATGTACTGAACTCTTAGTTGAAACCAGAAATAACACACCTACACTATATAGTCTCCCAAGTCATTTGAAATAATATACTTTCTTAAATACAGGGCGTTATTAGTGATTGAGCAATTAACAGTGTGTAGTGATAAGATTACTTTCTTCAATGAGTCAGTTAGAATAGAGGGAAAATGAGTTGTAATCATCAGTCATGTTAAGATAATGGAACTCTCATATGTGATAATCTGGGAATAAAGATTTTTGTCTCTTCTAGGCAGGAAGTTCAGTAGGAAATGTCAATGTAAGTTTGTTACCTAAGGTTATCTCATGTTTTTACCGTTCAAGTAAAATGCAACCGTAAATATGATGTTGGGTTTTTCTATTATTGACTTTAACTTCATTTTTGGAGCCATCACATTTGGGGGGCGGGGGGGTCACCTTTTATGTGAAGTGAAAATGGTTCACCAGTTGTTCCAATTCAACATAATGATGGTGATAGCCTCCTGAGCAAGAAGTACACAGTGCTTTAAGATTAATCTTATGCAGTGTTCAATACAACACAGCTCATAGTTCTTTCTTGCATGAACATGATCAGGACATTTGCTTGAATGAGCTATTGATGGGGGACTGTACTTCTTAGCATGATATGCATACTTCGAAAATTGAAGCAGATTTTTGCATTTCACAGATGAGCAGAGTGATTTCTGGAAGGCTATTTCCGTGAATGAGAATCCCTTCCTAATAAGTTACTCGATAAGTACTGTATAGGTATATTAGTTGTTTTGATGTCTGATTTAGTCATGGGACGAGAATTCCTCTGGAACCAATATTCTGTCCACTCTCACCAGTTGTGAGAAACTCTTACAAGCACGCCTCTTGTATGAAAAAAAATCCTCATAATGTGTACATTGAGTGTCAAGACAGCTGATGTCTCTTATAACAGGATTCTTCAGCATATCCCTTAATCATACCACCCTAATTCTTGTCACTTATCTGAAGGGTCCCTACACAATCAGAAAATCCTGAGGACCTAATGCTTTATATAAAGATCAAGATTCATTTTGTTTTGATGTTTTTAATTTATTAATCATGTGAACAATGAAAAATCGTGAGAATTAAAACAATTTGTGATTTGCTATGTATCAAGTCCTGATTCCAAATAGATACCTACAATTTCTTTAGCATGTATAATTTTTGTGATTAGATGGTTTTAATATTGCGGATGTGTTGTGTGTGTGGGTGTGTCATATGTATGTATGTATGTATGGATGGGTGGTCAATACTAGTGCCCAAACTGTTAAAACTGTCGCTAAGAGTTGATGTACTGTAATTGATTTGAAGGAATTGTAGGCCCTGTGAGTTTGAATTATTTTTATTTTGGAGGTACATTACGCAAAGCCTCAGAATTTTCAAATTGACTCCAAAATGGCTATTTTAAACCTTATCCTTGGGTAGTGTAAAGGATGCTTAAAAGAATGTCATAGGTCTAATTTTCATCAAAATTGGACAGAAACAGGTGTACTGGGGAACTCATTGCATTTTCAAAAGTTGTAGAAAGTTAACAATGTGAAACTGCAAGATTTTTGTGTTAAATGAAATTTTTTGTAAAAAATCAGAACTTCAAAGAATGTCATGTACATTTTTTTTTTTTTTTCAAGAAGAAAACAGAAATAGAAAAAAGAGTAGTTTGCATGTAATTTGTGATCGAAGATAATGCAAATTAATAAAAAAGAAAAATTTTTTCAATACCGTTCTGAGTTTTTTCTTAATTTTTTTTTCCATGAATAGAACAAGGAACACTTAAGACTTCTAACAAACCTCTCTCAATTTGACTGAAGTCTCTGAATTTTCAAGCATTGCAAATGTTAGAAATAATGCAAGAAAGTATGTGATGTTGAAGCACCACTATTTGAATTGCAATGTTAAAACCTTATTTTTAATTGCATTTATTGTAGCGCAAGTATATTTTCCAGGTTACCAGAGGCATGTGGTATCGATTGTGAAATGGTAGGTGCATCAAGTCCTGTTAGAGACATGCTTGCCAGAGTATCAATTGTAAACATGCATGGGGTATGCATTTATGACAAGTTTGTGCAGCCTACTCATCCTGTTACAGACTACAGGACATGGGTTAGTGGAATTCGGCCTCGGGATCTTCAAAAAGGTGTGTTCGTGTATTTGGTGGTAGAGCTGATTTTGGGTGTATAAATTTGTCTTATACATTAAATAAATTTATATTAATCTCTCTTTTGATTTTATTTTGTAGGCATTCCTTTTGAAACTGTAAGAATAGAAGTAGCTGCACTGCTCGAAAATAAAATTGTGGTGGGTCATGCAGTTCGCAATGACTTCAGAGTCCTAAAGATTAAGCACCCTAAAAGGCTTACACGTGACACTTCCTTGTTAGTATGCATTTCTGTTTTGTTCTCTTCTTTCTTTTATTTTAGATTTATCGTCAGTGCTGGTTTGAATTTGTTTGTTTTAGTTTTCCACCATTTATTCAAATGTTTAATGGTAAAACACCTAGTCTGCGCAACTTGGCTCGAGTGGTACTGGGTGTTAACATTCAAGGTGGAGAACACTCCTCTGTAAGTATGCATAAATACTACATTTAGATATTAGGTGAAAATTATTCCAAAATAAAATTTCGATGTAACTTGTAGAATCATATGAAGTCTTCATCACAACAAATATGAGATCTGTTTTAATTTTTGCAGGTTCAAGATGCCAAGGCTACCCTTCAGCTGTATATGGCATATAGAAACGAATGGGAGAAATATGTTCATGAAAAATTCACGAAAAAGGAAAATTCACGAAAAACCATGCATCATAATGCTCATTAATTATGATAAAAGCATGAAACTCCAGTGTTCCTTGGCAAAAATGTGGCAAGATTAACTGTGAACGTTGATTGAAGATATATGTTCATAAAATTTCCACTTTTGTGCCAGTTTCATTAGTTTTTACTTGATTTTTATATGATGTGTACATCATGCATAAACATTTCTTAAATTTATCGACATTTGTGATTCAGTTTTGTTTGTGTATAAGTTACACATATTTTGTATATGTGAGTTAATAGTCCTTATATTATAATATTAAAGGTTCATATTTTTATTTAATCATGTAATATTGATAATATACAGAAATGTTCCTCATCGTTCTAACTTAACCCGTAAGTTCTGACTATTGATATTAACTCTACTATGTTAATTTTCTTTGAATTGCGAAAATTCAGTGTATCTGTTTGACCTCTTTCACCTGTCTATCTTACCTTCAGTGTCTCAACACTGAGTTTTGTGATTTTGCCATGAATTGCATTAGTCTATGTTTTGTTATTGTGATTTCTTTGAGTGTTGGTGCATGTGGGAGACATTTTGACTCCATGTCTGCATTTACACTACTGTTTTTGCAAGTATTAGTTCTCCTGTAATTCAATGTTTTGAAGTTACAGAAGTTTTAACTGATAAAATCATTTAATAATCATGTACAGAACTCCAAATCAATCCTCTAAAAAACTGGCCCTCTAGTAGAGACTTCATGCACATACATTGAACAAATTAATGCACTTATCTATATAAATTTAAAACAGTTAGGTTAGTTACACCATTTATAACTCAAGAACGGCTAGACAAATTTTTATTATCCCTGATTTGTTGGATTCGTCTCCGCCCAGAACAGCAGAATAACTTTTAAATTATTGGGAAAACCCCTGAAATAAAGGGAAAAAAACAAAGAACATGACTCATTTCAAATGCAATCTGCAACATATTGCAGAATTTTTTACACTATGTTGATAAATACTCCTAAATGAAGCGTCTTAGGGTATTTAAAACTACAATTTTGAGGCCAAAGGCTTCTAAGAAATGTTGCTCACACCGTACTCTACAGGACATGATATTCTTGAACATTGTATTACATTTTGCTGAACTGGTGTTTTTGATATTACCCCACCTGCTCAGAGACGTGCAGATCTGCAACTAAATGCATACAAGAGGGACAGAGAGTGTGAGAACGAGAGAGAGAGAGAGAGATGAGAGAAAGCAAGAAGGAAGAGGAAAGATTGAGATGAACAGCGGTACAATGTTTGCCAAGTTCCGCTAGTATTGTATACAAGTAGTTTCGTATACGCTTGTCTCGCTATCTTGTAAGCGAATAAATGGAGAGATGATTACTGAATATTAAGCCGTGAAAATGCATGTACAAGATGTTAGGCGAAGAGGAAATAGAATTAATGACAGCAGGGCGGAAGGATTTTTTTAAACATTGCACAAATACAATATGTTTGAATTTTACGTTTTTTGTTTCGAATAATCAAGTTTTATTAATAAAATGCTGTTAGCAGACAAATGCAAATAATAGATATTGCGAAATTACAAATGAAATTGTGAATCGTATGATCATAAAAATTGTAATATTGTGAGAAGAGTTTTCATGTGTTTTCGCTCGCGAGGCAAGTCGCCTGTGGAAGACAGTGTCCTTGGGTGACTGCGGTCACGTGGGAGCGATGCTGTGTGCGTGCTCCAAGGTGAGGAGTGGTTGAGTGCCACGACTCGCGACCGATTATCCATTGATTAAGATCGCTCCTGCGATCGAGGCAAACCATCTGTTGGTACGCCGGTACAGACTTTGTGTCCCAGTGTGACATCCGGTCACGGAAGCTTGGCTGTGTGCGCGCTTCAGATGGAGTGGCGAGCGCCACAATTGAAACCGATCATCAATCGGGTTTTGATCGCTCCCGCGATCAGGGGATAGATGGTCTATCAGAGCTAAGGTGTAAAGTGTAAATTCATTGTAAATATTTGTTGTGCAACAGTTTTGATTTTCACTAAAAAAAGCAAATATTTGATTGTTATTCAGCGTATTCTCATGCTGTGCGTAGTCTGGATTATCATACTCGGTGTGTGTCTGACACAGCTGGCATTGTGTGAGTCTCTGAGGAAGAAGCCATCCGTCATTAAATATGTGCTATTTATACGTTGTGTTATGAAACCACTTTTTAAAATGTTTTTGATCTATATTATTTCAGTATTGGACTGATTTTTGTTAAAATGTTTAATTTATAGCAGTGTTATATGAGGGTATTGTATTCGTTCTAAGCTAAGTGCATACCACTTTTTGGAAAACCATTTTGCGAGCTTTGTTCTGCTGCAGAAAAAATACAAAAACAAAGTAAAAGTTGGCATTTTTATATTACTGCTGCAATTGCTTCTAAAAAAATAGAAATGCGACAAAGAATGTCGCGTTCTGGTAACAGTTGTTGAGTAAGCATTTTCAGAGAACATCTTCCGTGTTTACATACTTGGCAGTTTCCTGAGAGATAGTCCAACCTGAGCCCAAATTCTGAATTAGTAAAATTTTAGTTTGTCAAGTACTCGAGAAAACATAACAGTAGCGTACACTAAGAATAAATAAACTTGTTTCACACGAATGATACATTAATTTTGGTTTGTTGCCAGTTAACTACTTGAAGTTTGCAAACACAAATTTCGAGAATTATTTTTCAAAATCATCCAGGGATGGGAAATGATGGCATACAATGGAGAGTAATTTCTTTTTCATCTATACACGATGTCAATGACGTCCACAATCCCCACAACCGCAGATAACAACGTACATGCTAAATGTTTGGCCGTCTTTGTTGTCGAAGCCACTTGTGCATTTTACAGTCAAAATCGAATGAAATAGCGACCCTTATAGGGCTCGCGGTTTTTTCCATTGCATTTGTTCTGTTGCTTTTTCTTATATTAGGGCACGACTCTCGTTCATTGTGAACAGTTAATTTCGATTCAAAGCTTGTAGTGTTCTTTCTTCAGTTTGTAACCCTGCAATTTTAATATTGGAGGCCAGTATGATAACAATGGTTTTCAATGCGTGATCATTGGTGAGATGTGACAAGATGGGGCCGTTAATGTGATACGAGAAATTTCCTTCAACTCATAAAACAAGATAATCAAATAACAAACTGATGTGAGTTTTCAGTTTTATTAATTTCGGAGAGTGAACTGACCATTAAAGTTTTTTTTATAAAAGTGAATAGGTAATTATGCGGTGGATAGAACATGGTGGAAATACATGGGTGAGTTCCTCCAGCGCACTGATTTATGCTCGTTCTGCGCAGCACCAATTTGCGAAACACGTGACCACAGCACACTTAGATGCTAAACATAAAGGAAAAAAAAGAGGGCGACTTCTTCGATCTTCAGTGCTCCACCGCGCATCGCGGACCGCCATCTTAAAAATGTGCACAAAAAAACCGCAAGAGTCAACTCAGACGCTATTTTCTCAAAAAGGCTCCAATTTTTTTTCTTCTAACTTTTCCAACGGGTAGTGCTAATTCCACTGTTTATATTTACATAAGTTTCATTTTTGTATACTATTTTGTGTTTTCAAAAATTACACAGATGTATTTTTTTTTTAAATGTCTCTCATGCCGTGTATATGTATATTTCCAGCTATTTGAATAGACTATTGCATTAGTGAGTTAATGTGCTTTAAATTACTTCAAATACAAGTTTCCGAAAACTCAAAAATTTTCTGTGAAAGAGCGCTTCAATTTCAGAATTTTAGTAAAGCTTAAGCGATATTTTCTTAATAATGTCAGAATTTTTCATGAAAGTAGTAAAAATTGAGATTTTCAAAAGAAATATACTGTGGGCAGCCAGTTGGCTTGAGTGGCAAGTCCAATAAACTAGACCAGGTTAAAAAAAATAAATAAATAAAAAAAAAAAGGAAATCTGCACACTTGCGCACTTGCACTAACATCTCCACGTACCGGCCCGTGCGTCACTTCTTAGCGGCCAGAATTGGGAAGTTTAAGTAGGGTTTAGGACACTCCACAGGGGTTGTACTAGCCCTTGTGAAGCATGCAAACTCGTTTGATCGTAACAAATTTCTCATGAGGTTCTACGGGAATCAAACCCGGAACCTCAGTGGTGAAAGGCTACGGTACATCGCCACTGAACCACGAGAGCATCTTTAATTGCTGCAATCACTATTTCAAATTCTTTACCATTTTATCTCTGTTTTTTTTTTTTTTTAAATATTTGCATTGGTACGATATTAATATTTGCCAACACTATTCCTGTGCCAATATGATATCATGGTTGCCGTATAGAAAGTGTGTAAACTGCTGTAGGACTCGGCATTTGTTGTGTGGTGAAGATGTCTTATTTACGTCTTTTTATATTTGGCGTATAACTAGCAAAGATATACGTAACCCGAGGGGACATTGGGTCATATGAATAAAAATGAGCACTTGCTCCGGAGCAAAGTGTGTCTACTATGCGGCACTGAGCAAAAGCTCCATTTCGTATGAATAAAAACTTCGTATGTCTCCGAAGAACTTGATCATGTCTCGCAAGCATTTGTTCGTTGTGAACAAGTAATAGTGCAGGCTTAAGAGTTTTAAAAATTGGTTTCGTGAGTAACAAAGAGGTTCAATATGTTACGCGCGTCCTGCACATTTGTGCGGGGCAAAAAACAATGTTTTGTTGTCTTGTTCTTTAAAAGCGAATATGATGTAGCAGTAACGAAGAACAGGCGCGAGAGGCCCAGCTAGTTTTTCTGGGTAGCTTTCTTTCTGTGAAGTATCTATTCTGTGACCACAGCAAGGGCACAAAAGCCTAAGGGGGGTTATAATAAAATCTATATTACAACCTCCTGTAGTACAACCTCCAACAAAGCTGTAGAATGAACTGAAAGCAAATAGATCGAATTTTTCTCGGCGTGACTCTTCTTGTACGTGAGCCGTGCCCTCAATTAAGAATTAACCTCTTCTGCTTAAAGAAATTTGGTGTTCTACCCGAATTGGACTTTCTAGACGCTAATTTTATTCCGTCTTAATGAAACGACGTCGATTTATTTAACGCCAAAAACAGTTACAAACGGTGTGTGACGTGCTATAGGGAGAAGTATGTAGAAACGTTAATTGGAAACATCAAGTAACTCAAACTACGACTTACTTATTACTACTTATTACTTTTTTACTGAAATTGTATCCTTTTCTCTTCAAGTGAATTAAAGACATCCGCGAAAGCATAAACACAATCACCACTACTAATCACGACTGAAAACAGATTTTCTGCTTTAGATTACGATTTGATATTGCTGATTTGAAATGCAAAAATGCATTGAAACTGTTTTTCCTTCGTTAAAT